TCTCGTCAGTACGACGACTGTGGTAACAATATAATTTAGTAAGGTGTAAAAATTAATTCAGATGAAAGAGATGTAAATTGGGACAAATGAAAAGAGTAGAAGAATTGTAAGACCTTGAAGGGATAGAGGAAGTGGTAGCAATTGAAAAGATGTAATATTAGGTATTAAGTAATAAAATAGCTAGTGTAACGTGGAAATATAGTATAAGTTCAGAGAGTTAAAATTTCTGAGGACATAGTTCAGGATTGTGAGACATAATTCAAGATCAGGAAACGAAATCAACTCTCAATGTTTTGAGACCCTAGAACAAATCCCTGTTCAATGAATTCAAGTTTACCCAAAAGCAAATACATGACGGATTACTAACAAAATTGGATTAACACTGATTCTGCAGATAACTGACTCTAAGTGTTATAGAAATTTTAAAGATATAAACAAGGAATATCCTTGGCTAGGAGAATGGAAGAGGATTGGGGCCTGAAATCGTCTACGATTTAATACATGCAGTTTGTTTGGCACTGCTGGCCCACCGTAGAGAGGAACACAGTCGAATTTTGATAATTAATGAAAACACTGCAAGTTGTGCCATTTAGATCTCCCATATGGTATGCCTGTATGTACTGTGTGACTTGGTAACCTGTATGTGTTTCATTCCTGCGCTGTAAACCCAGGCAGCAAAATCGGTGCCGAATGGTGTGAGAATCATTAGTACAATGCTCCCAGGCTTTAAATCCTTCAACCTACAGTCACAGGGTCGAATAGCATGTGTTATTTCAAAAAAGTCTTTAATTTCATTCATAAGGAATGGAAAGTTCTTGAAAAATTTGTCAGACAAATGCTGCGCTGTCGGAGAGGTAACTGTTCCACTGGACATAGCTGCTTCACAAAAAACCACCCGTCGCGTCAGTTTGCTTTTGCTGACTACTACGCATCTTATTGTATGTTCACCAAAAATGTAGTGCTTCTTCATGCCAAAGCACCTGCGTAACTTACTGTACAGTCCTGCCCATGAAATATGTGTTCTTAATTCAAATTTGCAAATCAACGAAATTCACTGAAACAATGAGGAAAAAACAATATACCTGGATCAAAAACAACTACATAGACTGAGACAAAATGAACTTCGAAAACTAACACTGCGGTTTAGAGCCGAAGTTTAAGTTCCCGAAATTCAAATTTTCCAGTTTATCAAGAATTTCTTTAACTAGCAATCATAAAAATGAAGCAGTCGCCCGCCTGCCCAGTTCAATTCAAACATTTACTACGTTAAGAATATCAATAATACTCATTGTGCAGCTTAAAGAAGCAACAGCAACTCACTCGGAACCAGACGATTCTCCAGGAAAACGCTTATAAAAACCAACTGTCTTCGTAGTTGTCGTATCGAATTGCTTCAAAACTTCTTTTCTAAGTCTGAAAATGGGCCAGTCAATAGTTTATTTTAATTTTCAATTCTTCAAATTTTTACTT